GTCGCGCGCATCCCGCCAACGCCGACCTTCTCGCGCGCGTACTCGTCATCGCCCGGAACTCCTTCGCCTACGCGGTCGCGGTCTCCTCCCGTTCGTACACTGTCCGCGTACGTGCCGTCTGCCTCACCTAATCCTCCCGCGCATAGGTATGCGTCTGCGCATGTCGCCCACTCGCGCGCCGCCGCACCTGCCCCGTCCTTGTCGTTCTCCTCCCGCGCGTGTGCGCCCGCGCTCGGCAGTCCGATGCCCACAAGGTCACGGCTTCCTTCCGCGTCACCTGTACTCGCGCGCTTATCGCGCGCTTCGCCCCCGTCGGCTCCTTCGCGCGCGTCCGTGCTAACGCTCTGGCCCTTATCGCCTACGGTGCATCCCCGCGTACCGTCCGTGTTACTGCCCGTCCCAGCCATCCCCGCGACCTGGCCACCTATCGCACATTCAGCTTGCGTCACGTCCTTGCTGCCCGACGCCCGCTCGTAACTGCCAACTCCGTGGTCCGTACGTCCGCTTCTGGTGCATCGTCATCGACCGTCCAACCGCGCGCATCATGGGCCGATGCGCGCCACTTGCCCATTAGCCAATCGTCGTCGCCCTTCCCCTCGGCGACCGTCCCCTTTGGTTCGGGCCATGGGTCCCATCCCTTCAACCTCACACAATCATCCGTCGGTATCCACCAACCATTCCTTTCCCATCGCAAACCACGCCTTTTAGCCTCCTTCCTTTGACCTTGTCTTTTCTTTGCACAAGGTTCGCACCTACATTGACTTGCTCTTCGGGCCCTTGATTTGCGTTGTCTCTTGGCCGTCCGTTTCCCTACCTTTGACTTCAGCTTTGGCCCACAACCTTTTGGCCAATCTTGTACACATGACGGCCGGTAAATAGGACTAGATGGCGCCTCAAACATGTTTTCCATCCAAATATCAAGATCATCGCCATCATCATTGTCGGATTCACCGGGGTTGATTACCACTTCCGTATCACCGGCGCTCATCGCGTGTGGCCCGCGACGCGTATGATGCGTACGACTGCAGGTCGTCCTCGTCCGCGCGCCTGCGGTCGTGTTGTGCGCGTTCTCCATGCCGTCGCCGGTCGTCGCGTCCGTGATCCGCGTGTGATGCGTGTGAGCCCCGCGATCGGCGATCATGCTCGCGCTCGGTCCCGGTGCTCACTGCCGTGGACCGCGACCCGTGCCTTCTCCTTGGCCGCGTGTTCATGCGCGTGAGTTGCCCGGCCAAGTCCTGAACCATGAGTTCGATTCTTCCCAAGTTCTCGTTGGTAGCATGTTGACCATCGCCGATGATCTTCATGTTATCCTCCAAGGCTTGAATTCTTTCACGGTTTGACATCATAATTTTTTTTTTTTTTTTTTGACTCTAAAAATCGAAAAAATAAATAGGGAAAAATTCAAAAAATTCGAACCCCCAACAAGACTCAAAAAAAAATCGAAACAAAAAGAAATTCGGCCCCTCAACAGAAGGTAATAACCCAAAAAAATAAACAAAGGACTAACAAGATGACACTTTTTTTTTCTTTTTTTTTTTAATGAATTTTCGAAAAAAAATTCGAAAATTCGACTCAAAAAAATAAGAGAAATTCGGTTCCCTCACCAAAAGGCAAAAACCGAAAAATATAAAGATAAGATAGACAAAATATCGATCAGCACCTCTCAATGAAAGCACCAATGATGACGGATCGATCTTTTGTCTTTACGGGTGGCGAATAAATGGCGCACTCAGGGCCTTCGTTTATTCCCGATACGTGTATCTAGCAGACGCACTCAGGGCCTTCTCCTAGACACTGTGACTTCGAGACGCTCTCAGGGCCTTCTTTCCGACACTGTATGTAAAGACGCACTAACGGCCTTCTTTATCACACCTTAAGAACATAAAGTTCCCCCTCAATATTGGCTCACCAATTCAATACTTCATTCAACTTGTAAAATATGATGAGGTACATGGGGTATTTATAGTTGCAAAATAAGCCTAAGCCTAAATCTAAAAGATCTCCTAAATCATGCAAGAATATAAATCCTAACTCTAGAAAGCAATAAAATCCTAAACCTACCAAAATACTATTGCTTGGCTTGCACACCAAGCAAATCTAGAAGCTCCCTAACTAAACCCAATTTCGGCCGCCTTCCATATGCGTCGCGCGCGTCCTTCGCGCATGCGCGCGCCGCCCGTCCATGTCTCCTAGTCCTCTTCGCCTTAGGAATCGCGTGTCCGTATCGCACGCGCGCGCCCGTGCGCGCGCCCAGCATTGCCGCCCTTCCTCTTGCGCGTTCTTGCCAGCGCACCTTCCCTATGCCTACCGCGCCTAGGCAAGCGCCCGCGCATACCGCCCACTCGCGCGCCCCCGCACGCTTTGCATTCCTGATACGGAAGTGGTAATCAACCCCGGTGAATCCGACAATGATGATGGCGATGATCTTGATATTTGGATGGAAAACATGTTTGAGGCGCCATCTAGTCCTATTTACCGGCCGTCATGTGTACAAGATTGGCCAAAAGGTTGTGGGCCAAAGCTCAAGTCAAAGGTAGGGAAACTGACGGCCAAGAGACAACGCAAATCAAGGGCCCGAAGAGCAAGTCAATGTAGGTGCG